CGACTGTAAAATTCGCAATTATAAGTTGTAAATGAAAAAAAGAATCTTTTTTTACAAGAATTTTTTTCATTTTTGGATGCTCAAAGGAAATTTAGATGAAAAAAAAGTTTCTAATGTGAATTCTTTTTAGTTCATAAATTTCTTATTTGATTATTTCGATGGCTATTATCGAGAATTTTTGAAAACTTCATTAAAATACTTTCAGTATTTCGAAAAAAAAATAGTTTTATATCTATGTACAATGTCAAATGATTGATTATTGCTTGCATTAAGGTTACGAAAGCATTGTAGATTCGTGTATGTATACGCTGAATCTCTCATGGCTGTGAATCTCTCATTAAAAGTGAAACCCGGAGCGATCCTGACGACCCACAATTACTTTTGGCTCTCTGGGAAGAGTTTATTCTTATATTTAAAACCAGTGGAACTAGCCGAACCAAAGCGCCTTTTGCAGAAGAAAATATTAAGCTCATAGTTTTAGTGTTAGTGCTAAGTGCTAGTGTAGTATATTTTTTTATATTTTGTACAACAATAACGATGGAATTATTTGATTGATGAAATGAAATGAAAATTATATTTGCCTCAAAAATAATTTAAATAATAAATTTTCAAATAAATTCCAAATAATAAATAAAGGAAATAAAACGAAAAAGAATTCGTCGATCATTTCAAACGATGATGAAATTTTGTGGAACTTAGTATTAATAAAAGAGAAATAAAAATTGCGTTTTATTTCTAGTGAAAAGAGAATTGACAAGGCAAATATAAATTTTTATTAACTTCAACAGCTGCCTATCTTTATTTTTAATAATATTTTCATATTTTCTAATATTTTAATAAATAATAAAAATATCAAAGAGAAAAGAACGAGAGACCTTATTATATATAAATCGAAATTAAATAAGCTGCAAGGCCTTTTCCCAAATACTCATTATCCCCCCTTCCTCAGCTCTTTTTAATTTTATTATTACTATTACTGCTATTATTATTATCATTATTATTATAATTATAATAATAATTATTGCTATATCATTATTATTATTATTATTCATCATCATCATAATAACACAAATAATAAAATGTGGTTATTCGCCTATTTTTATTACAAATATATAAATATATATGTTCGATATGATGTATTTTAAATGAAAAATTCGCGCAAAAATACGAGGGATTGTATAAAAAAAAGGAACAGTTATTTCCTCGATTATTTTTAATTGCAAAAGATGACAAGAAACGAAAAGATTGGCAATGATTTTTTAGAAAAAAAATTCGCTAAAATCGGTCAATTTCAAAATGAATATTTGTACGTAAAAACGCTAAAAAAATGCTTTTTTAAATTTATTTATTTCCATTATTTTCATAATAAAAGGATCAAATTTCAATTTCAAATTATTCGCAGTTGTAAAGGGATTTTCAAAAAATATTTAAATATTCCATAGAAAATATAAAAAAATTAATTTTTTTTAACGAAATGTAAAGTTCGAACTGATGAATTTGATGAATTTTGTAAAACATTGATAGACCTTAAAATAGACCTTAAAGTTAGGAAAAAAAACCTTGAAAAAATTTTTTTTACGGAAAAATTTATATATTGCAATATAATTTAGTTGTACTCGTAAGACACCGAACTATTTGTCGGTTGCAATATTTTAGAAGATTTAAAAGTCTCAAAAATTAATTCAATTAAAATTCCGAGAGTTTTGCAATCAAATAGAAAATATCGTAGTAGACATTAAGTAACTGCAAAAATTATTGATAAATTAGCCGAAAAACTGAATTTCTCATACAATTTTTATAAATTTATCAAAAAAACTTTTTTTGCTTGCAAAAATTTAAAATATTTTTAAAAAACTAGGTCCTATGCGAAGCAGAATGTTTCACTCGATTTATTTTGATGATCAGTCCATATGGATTGACAAAAGAGATTGACAACATTACTTATGATGACTATTTAGGAGAGAACTCAATCGAGGTGTTCTGGTCCACAAAATTTTCTCTATAATAACCATTCTTTCTTTATACCTTTAGCGCTTACCATTATTACTTTGGCTGGCTCAACCGATTTGTCAAAGAGCCTTGGAAAATATGGGGATTAACCAAAACAACCAGCTTTTCAATAAATGTTCTTATACTATTTTTTATACCATTCTCACTATTTCTTGTTAAGTTCATTGTGTTGGCTTATAGAATCAGGCTACTTTTGCCAGGGGCTACTTTCGCTACAGAAATATAGGCGAGTTGCATTACCAGAATTTTTGGAAGATAAGATCTGCCAGGAGTGGAACAGGGGCACTTTAAAACCCAACCCAATGAGCCGTTCCAACTACAAACTATAGGACATCTATTCATAATAAATTTAAAATTTAGTTTTATAGGCATTTAAAAAAGGACTTTGTCAATTCATTCTTAGAAAAAAAATTATTGAAGAATTTCTTTTTTCAGCAATAAAAATTTCGACATATGCTTGTTGGAAATTGTCAAAAAATTACTGCACCATATCAGACAAATTGCTTTGTTATATTATTTAATATTTGATAAATATCGATGAAAGAAAAATCATCCTTTTCTATTTGCTATTTGATAATTTTTAAATTTATTTTTGACAAAAACCAAATTTTACTGATTAATTTAGTTCAAAATTGGCAACATTTTTTACAAAACATTGTCGCAGTTGTTGTGAAAAAAATATTTGTCATTGGCCAATATGCTTCGAATCCACTGAATAATTAGGATATATAAAATATGGGTTCAACTGCTCTGCAGACTTAGTCCAAATGCCTAAATGCGTATCACTTTACGTTTTGACATGCCTGGCTTATTTCAGAAATTACAATTTTTTCGTCGTTAGTTTTCCAATGAGAGAGGCAAATTTGCAATATTAGATTTTAATTATTTATAAAATTTTTTCATTCTTTGAGATCGCCAAGGTTAATACCAAAATTTATCTGCAGTAACAATTTTAAAGTTATTATTATTATTGCTGTGTAAAAATATATTGCAGTAGTTATTATTATTGTATAAATAAATTCCTTTTCTCACCTACTATGGGTAGTATGGGTTACACTCGTCCTCGAATTCTACCACAAGGGTAGGAGCTTGAGGGTTGCGTATCTTTGCAATTCTTAACAGTTCTTCTGGACTTAATTCTCTAATGTTGTTCCTCGGATGTGTTGGACGTATTTTTCCAATTAAGGAGTGCTCTTTACCACTGGGACTATTTTAGCTTTCACTTTCCATATCTTCCCTCTTTCAACCTCTAACTTCTCAAACTTTCCTTCTTCCTGTCCCTAACACTTGATGTTATCATATCTATTACCAGTGCTCACTCATGCTTCTTCAATACACTACAAAAGAACCGCAAAAGTTCTCTCACTTTTATTTATTGATATATAAAACTGTAATTCTGCAAATGGGTACAGCAACAGTTTTATAACAGAAAAAAGGTGAAAACAATTGAGTTGACCACTTTATTTTAGAAACTAGAAGACATTATAAACCTTTTATTTCGTTACATTTTAAAATTTATGATAAAGTATGATTTAAAGAAGTAACATTTCGAGTAACATTAACAACATCAACAAATTTGATTTTGCATTTGCTTCCAAGTTTTTTTGAAAAATTTTATTTTACAGTTGTAAACGCATTTTGGCAAAATAAATATTGTATATGTTGATCGCCGATTAAAAAAAATTCTTCTGAGTTCAATGTCAGGCTTAATGAATTGAAGTCGAACTTTGAAAAATTATAAACAATTTAGAGTCCAAGATTTACTTTTCTTTTACGGAGTGGGATAACTCAAAATAAAACAACATTCATTTTCAAACCCATAGTTGAAACCATACTTTTATTAAGCTAATAAATTACGACGAATTTTCCGAATTTTTGCACTAAACTTATAAATATAATTTTGCGATGTAATTTTAAATGTAATTCATAAATCAAAAAGAAAAAATAAAAAATGAATTCGACTGCAGCAAAAACAGGAAAATTTAAAAATATATTTCCTACCTAATTTCATTACTTAACAAAATTATTTCCAAAAATGGACAATCTTTTTTCTATGTTCCTTTCATTCAACTGAAATATTTTAAAGAAAAGTACTTACCATTAATATAATTTTACTAATTTTGAATAGGCACGCAACTAAAACTACTTGCAGAAAAGTGATGTAAACTCAACCTTATGATTTAAAAATGAACGAATTTTTTCCGAAGGAAGGCTTTAACATTTACTTACTTCATTTCTTGACCATCCAAACTGTATATAATAGTTTAGTTCCAAAAACGAATTTTTTTTTGAAACAGTGTGAAACATTTAATTTCTCAACAGAAAAGAAATTTGAAAATTATTATATTTAAAATATATACAAACAGATTTATAGTTACACCGGTACTAACACATAAAATATAAAATATACAAAATAAAACATAATACAGTTCAAAATGATAGATAAAATACACATTTTTGATCTATAAATGAATTAAAAAGGAAAATGATCCACATTCAAATCCTAAATTTTAAACTTAATAACAGAGGCAATCGTAATGAGGTATTCATTTTCAAATTCTCACAGAAAAAATGATGAGTTGCACAGCATCTCGGGGACGTCGGTGAGGATTGGCACCTAAATTATAATCAATTAACAATGAAAATTATCCAGGCAAAGAGAGATTTTTTAAAATCTTTTTCCATGTTCTAACGAAATATGAGAACAATGAGAATACTTTTCCTTTTTTCTTGAAAAAATTTCCCAGACTCATAAAGAAAATAACTGATATCAAGAATGAAAGAATATTATGATTAAGTGATACGTGATTAACAAATTAACCATTGTTCATCTTCTAGAAACATTTACATAAACATTTAATGTTTTAATTGCCTTTAGAAATTTATATGTATATGTTTTTATATAAATTGTCTTTAAATATGTTTGTGATATGTTTTTATATATATAAATTATAAATTTAATATATATATATATATATATATATATATATTCACACGTTCATCAATGTAATCAAGACCACTTCGAAAAAAACCTTTAAAATATTGATAAAATAAGCCATTTGTTCCTTTTCATTGACAGTCCAAGCAACAACACGGATATTATTTTTCAACATATCTCTGACAATGCTCCTAAAACATAACTCATATAAAAAATACAAAATATTAAACAGACTTCTCGAAAAGAATGTTAATTATACACTAAGCCTTCTTGAAAAAAATAGATTAACAGGATTAATGAATTAATCAAATAATATAGTTTTTTGTAAAAACACCCTTAAAAATGAAAACCTGCTAATATCTTGTTCATTCGTAAGGAGCATCTCAACTCCCAAAAATTGCGGCAAAATACTATTGATTAGTTTTATATTGATGAAATCGGCAAATAGAGCTATATAGTGCAAAATTCCATGAAAACGTGGTATAGTATTTTCTAAATCTTCATATGAGAAAAAATAAGAGCGCCATGTCAAACCTGAAAAAATTTGCGAATAAATAAGGAAAATTTTAGAAGATAATTTCAAAGCTATACATAACTCATGACAAAGAAAATCCTCTAAGTATCTCTATCTTCACTATAATATTTAAGTAATGAACTACTATATTTCCTCTATTTACCATCAGAGGGAAACTTGTATCCTAATTCATGAAAAAAAAATTCTAATGAATGGTTTGGATAATGAAAAAATAAAATCATTCAGAATTCTGCCAAGAAAAAATATAACGTTATGACAAATAAAATTTAACCAGTCAAAATTTTTGGATCATTTTTTTTTACAGCATACGAGACCCATGGAAAAAAGGATGATACAATAACCTGATCATATAAATTATATTTAGCGATTATATTAGCGATCTGTGAAATCATCTGCAAAATAAGTTACAAAATAAGTAAATTAAAATAAGTAATAAAATAAGCATAAATATAAAAAATAATTTTTCCGCGCAACCCTTCTTTTTCTTCATCTAACAGTTCACAAAATTACTTGTTACGCTAGTTCTAACAGCTACAAGAATAAGACGCCTCCAAGCTATTCGGTCTGATGCCTGATCGTCGACAGTAATAGAAGCCATTTCTTTTTTCCATCGCCTAAGTCCATAAAATGCTGGTCCATAGATTGAAAATCTTTCCTGACCGGATCAGTCCAGGTTTTGATTGGTCCATTTCGCTTTTGACACCATCCATTACAGGTTTAGCAAATAACGAAATATGCGTCAAATCCTGTGGTGGACGACAGAGAAGGTGTCCTAACCAGCGAAGGCAACGCTCTGATAACGTTATTTATACAAGTGTATTTGAACAAAAATGGGTGTGATATTTTATCCGCTCGATGGACCAGTAAAATGTACCTTAGATAAGAGTGGTCAAAGTAGGATAACTTCTTAATATCCTCCACTCTCATTAGCCATATCTCAGAGCCATATAACAAGATCAAACGAATCGCGCTTATATAGACGAAGACTTTAGTTTTTATGGTGATTTCGTGACGTCTATAAAGCTTTCGCCAATCGGAAGAATTTATTTCTAGCTGCCGTGATCCTGGTTATAATATATGGTATCGTATCTTGTATCGTATATCTTATATCGTATATCGTATATTATATATTATATTGTACCTTTTGTAATATTGTATCGTATCGTCTTTTGCCTGGCCATTTCGTAATAGAGTGGACCAAAGGTATTCAAAATCAGGTATTTCCCCAACCACCAATGAATTTATAAAAATTATTGATTAAAAGTTATTTTACCAGCTTTTTGTACATAAGATGAAAAGGCTTTCGTTTCATTTATATTCATCCTGAGTCCGATTCTCTGAAGTTGTTGGCACGTTATTTAACAATATTCGCATTTCTTCTTAATTGTCAGCAAAAAAGACTACATCATCAGTGTATTCAAGATCTATGATACGATACTCTGGACTAATTTAAATATCTTTTCACTGCGACAAGCAGTGTCCATTATCCAGTCTATTGCATAGTTGAATACTGTAGGGGAAAGGGCGCAGCCGTGACACCCAGTTTTTATTTCGAAGGAGAATTTATCAGCTCCCCATGTACATAGACCTGCTCCAACATGCGCTCATAAAATGCTTTTATGAGTCAAATGATCTTCTCTGGAACATCGTCGAGCTGCATCACTCTCCAAAGCTTCTTCTTCTTCTTCTAACAGCTCTCACCATTACTGGTTAGGCTGGCTCCAATGACTACAAGGCTAAGACGCTTCCAAGCGGTGCGGTCTGATGCTATCGTTGACAGTAACAGAAGCCATTCCTTTTTCCGTCGTCTAAGTCCACATATTGCTGGTCCATCTATTCGTTCAAAATCTTTTCTCACTGTATCAATCCACGTCTTGATTGGCTCACCTCGCTTTTGACGCAAACCATCACACGGTTTAGAAAATAACGAAATATGCGTCAACTCCTGTGGTGGACGACAGAGAATATGCCCTATCCAGCGAAGGCGACGTTCTTTGATAACATTATTTATGCAAGTGGTATTTGAACGAAGATGGATGCGATATCGTGATATTTTATCCGCTCGACGGATCCGTAATATGTACCTCAGACAAGAGTGGTCAAAGGTAGATGTCTTCTTAATATCCTGGCCATGTCTCAGAACCATATAGTAAAATCGAAAGCGCCGCTGTATCAATTCAAAGGCAGCCGCAAAGTCGATGAAACACGTGTCAGCTTGTTGCAAATATTTGAAGCAATCACTCCTCTTCTTAATATCTGATCAGCACAAATCCTCGATATCGCAGTATGTCCTATCACCTTGCTTGAGAATTGGGAGCAGAATTGCTTTACTCCAATCATCTGGTAATATTTCTTTTTCCCATATCAAAGAGTACATTTATTGAAGGTGTGTTATGAAGGACGATGGACAACATTTGAAGAGTTCAGCCTAGAGACCACCTTCTCCCGGAGTCTTATTGGCCTTAAGCTTTCTGAGAATTCAGAAAATTCTTAGAAAAAAATAAAAAAAGCAAATCAATCGAATAACCTCTTGGCGATGATCTTTGACATCAAATAACATTTTAATCTTATGCTCCATGCTAAATTTCACAGTTTCTTCCAGAGTAGGTATTTTGTAAATATTTGCTTCTCCACTGCTAAAAATATTTTATATATTAATAATTTATATATTATAAATAAAAATATTTTAGCAATTTCTTCAATTTTTCAACCTAAAAAGATTGAAAAAAATCCATAGTTAAAAGTTGAAAAACCCTGATGTATAAAATGTTTTCCCTGCATTCTTTTTCTTAATTTGGTCGATCGTTAAAGATGCGATTAATTCAGGTTCTCCACAAGTTCTTAACAAATTATCGTCATGCATCACCACTACCACGTCATCTTTAGTCAGCATCAAATCAAATTCAATTAGGTCAACGCCGCTCTCATATGCCTGAAAATTTCAATTCAAAAAATGGGATGAAAAAGATATAGTTAAAGAAAAGTGTTTTAAATAATTTAAATCCATTCTACGTATATGAATAAAAAATGATTGATCATCTTCATTCATCTGAAGAATTTCATTAAAACTTGAAATAATTTAGAATGAAGAAATAGAACGGAAAAATGATTTTCAGAATTAAAAATTGGAACTATTATTACCAATTATCAATGGTTCATTAAAATTAAATAAATCTCATTTTCCAAGAAAATAAATATAAAAATAAATATAAATATAAAAGATTTAACAACCTTCTCAAATGATTCTAACGTATTTTCAGGAGCAATTCTTGGAGCACCTCGATGTCCACCAATTTTTATCGATTGAAAGAAATCGGCCGCCTGAAAGATCAAAAGTGCTATTTTATTATAAAGAAAAAATAAGTAACAAAATGGGGAATAACTAACCAAAACCAATCGTTGCCTGCATACATAAAAAAATTTTCATTTGAGTTTATTCCTAAACTTTCAGCGATATTTTCATGATTTAAAATTTAAAATATTTAAAATATTAATATTTAAAATTTTACTAAATTCAATTTAAAAATTAATTTATATAAGAATTAGATAAAAAATATTTCACATATCGTATTTCATCCTTCTTAAATGAATAAAATAAATCTTCTGAAGTAATAGTTTCCAAATAATTTCATTTTTTTTTTGGCATTTTTCTACCAGTTTAGATTTTTTAAACTTTTGCAAAAAAAATTCTAAATAAATTCTAAATTCTAAATAAAATCAAAGAAAGAATTCGAAATGTTTATTTCGTAATTTCCATAATTTCCATAATATTACTGCAATTCGAAGCTTTTCGAAAAGAGTTAAATCGATTATCGATTATCAAAAATCAGACCAAAATTTCGCTTAAAATCTCAAATCAAATGAATGCAGAGGGGCTTAAATTTGAAAATTTCCAATAAAATATCTCAAGTCACATATAAGTTAAAATTCTTTGAAAATCCAAAATCTCTTAAATTTTTTTTCACGATACGTTAAATCGTTAATTTAATTTATACAGCTGAATTATCCGTCTCTCTCTCATTTTTTATAATCGCCTAAAGTCAAAACCTATCCTCGAAAATAAATTTCATCGAATAGCTGATAAATGCCTCATAAAAATTCCTTTTATAAAGTTTTTCTCGATTTCGCAATTTTTTACATTATAAAAATTTTTCACAAAAAAAAAGAAACGAACGAAAAAATAATTTACTAAAATTGTAGAAACTTGCCGACATGCAAAATTGCGTTCAATCAAATTATACGTTAAATAGATAACCGATGTAAGAAATAAGAAGCGAACAACGAAACTTATTATAGAATACAATAAACCGAACATCTTAAATTCATTATTAAAATAAATAAAACAGCTTAATTAATGCTAAAATTCTAAGTTTCTAAATGAGGGAAAAAGTTGAATTTGCTTTTCAAGTCGCAGTCGAAATTTTTCTTAATAATTTTTATTAAATGAAATTAATCAATTAATCAACTAAATCAATAAGAAAAATTTGTTGTTAGAAATTCAAATCACTGCTTTCTTAGTTCACTGAAGAAAAAAAGGAAATACATAGAAAATAAAAGGATAAAGAAGTTCAATTACTCAAACTGATCGTTAAAAAAATTAAACTTTTGCGAAATTGAATTAAATTAATTGAATAGTCAGGAAAAAATTAATAAACCATTGCAAAACATCAAAAAAATGACAAACAGACCTTCAAAATCGCTTAAAAAAGCAACCCCCCGCAACCGACGCCTTTAATCTTCCAAACTGGCAGAACGAAAAGCCAGCAATTTTTCCACGGCCGAATATTTTTCCCGAATGAATATTTACGGCCCGTCCCCAAAATTCGACATCTGGCATTCCGCATTTCCTAACGAAAATTTCGGTCTAACGTTAGCAACAAAATTCTTTTATAAAAATCTGGCGAGGGTAGTAGAACGTTTTTCACTATAAAGATGATTCTATAAGGGGAAATCGCCATGTCACATTTAGAATATGAAAAGGTAGCAGTGAATTATGAAGTGTCGTCTCGGATTGTAAACTGAATGGCTAATTTTTATGGGTCACGGGGGTCCATCCGTGGGTTCCTAGGGGGAATCGCAATATGGAGCGAATTTAAGCGCTGTATGCGCGCTTTAAAAGTTCTTTCTGAATGAAAGACGGAAGAAGGATTATTAATTTATTTTCAAAAATGACGTTTTTAGCGAAAATATTTGAGATTATGCTAAATAGAGAATATAAAATATTTGAATGCAATATGTTTCAAAAAGGCTGTTTGGCTTTAGACATATTGCAAGTGTTCTTACTTTTAATGAGCTATGGGACATATAGGCGATCCAGTGACATGTGCGCATAGACGGTGGAGAAAGAAGCGGCGTGAGGATTTGCGCTTCGTTCGATCGAGTGGCTTAGAAACGCCTTACTCTTACAACTGGGCCAGCCAAGCAATAGGACTGTCAGAGGAAGCGAAAAATGGAACGGTGAAATAATTCCAAGCAAACATTTTTCAAAGATTTTCCATTTTTTTACTTAGTAGGACAGTGCATTATCATTTTTAACAATTTTTTACAAGAAAATTAAATTCCTCCGAAGAAACTGTTTTTAAGCCAAAAAGGCGACTAATTTATTAATTTTTTATATTGTAGTCGCATAATTTTCAGCAGTAAAAAATTCCGAAAAGCTCGGACTGAAGGTTTTGTTTTATTTCACATGAATTCGTATTATTTTGCTGGTAAAATTTTCAAGTTTTTTTATTTGCTGGCGGTAATTTCTTCGATTTTACTTTGATTTTTTTTATAAACTTATTTAGTTTATTCCATTTTTTCACCTGAAAATTACGAAAATGAAATTTGTGAAGGATTGAGCAACAGCTTTGTAACTTTAATTTACAATAATAAATACCGCGCCTCAAAATCTTTCGACTGCCTCAAGTTAAAAAATTTAGAGACATTTCAAGCCAAGACATTTAAAACTTTAATAATCTCAGCTATGTAACTGCTTAAGAGCATAATCTCAGTTGAATTCTTGTCTCCAGAAGTCAGCTAAATCCACTCTAGGACACATGGTTTATTTTTCTTTATAATCATCTATGAACTCTTTCAAGAAAAAATTTACTTCAGTATAATGTAAAATAAAAGTAAGTGCCTGGCGCTCATTTTTGATTAGATTTTCGCCACTCGCTGTTACGATTAAAAATTTTTATCCAGTCATTTATCGACGCAAGTATGGATGGACTGCCAGCATTACTCAGATTTCTAACAATAGGTTCACTCATGCTAAAGGTCTAGTACGGATTCTGATGCTTGACAATCTAAGTAATAACTACTCGGTTATACTGCCTCCGTAATGTAACGACAATATATAGTTTTCTTTTGCTATTGTAAATATTGAAAAAGATTCCAATGATATAAGGTTAAAAAATAATTTAAAAAAGAAGGAAAATATTTTAGATGGATTTCTTTTTTAAACTTGAGAATCAAACATAGAATTATTCATAGAATTATTTACAGGTTTCCGGGTAATCTGTTTGTCTTCTGTTTCTGAGTGATTCTGTGGTCAGAATTTCTAAATATGCTAACAGCGATCAGAGTTAGCTTAACCTGTATGCTAACTTTTGATTTCAAACGAGATGCTTTTTCATAAAAGCTTTTTTGTATTAAATTTTATATTAAATTAAATTTAAATATTAAATTTTTCTAGATTATCTTTTGACTGGTCAACTTTAACAATAATTTTTTTCATATTTGTTTATAAATCGACTGATTAAATATCAAATTTTATCGCATTCTTGAATTCAATGGTGGCGTATAACGTATAAAATGTTTTCCACATTATAGCCAATGCTTATCATTTGATTTAATCTTCATAATCGCATTAATAGCCATCTAGCTTCGTGTCTTAATTTCTAACCTATGCAATCCATTGAATTAATTTCTATCAAATCATTCCGTTTATCTTTGGCAGTGGTTTTTATATCCTGATACGAATTTATTGTTATTGAGTAGATCAGGTTCAAATTTTAGATGTATATCTTGAATTCAACAATTAATTGAATCTAAAAATATATACAGTTAATAGTATATAGTAGTTTAAGATGACATCGGCTCATATATCACGAGGGGCAGCAAAAAACTAGAAAGTCGTACAAAGATTTGCGAATATTTGTCCAACAAGTTAGGTTTATTTCAATATTATTTCAATACTTCAAATACCATTGTTCCATATTTTTGCAGCGAATTTTAGATTTAGGAAATTTGTGAAGAAAGAAACGTAAAAATGATTAGAAAATATATTTTCTGATTTATCACAGAATATATTTGTTTAAATTCCATCAAATTCCAAAAATTAAAAAATAATATAAAATAAATAATGTAAAGTGAATTGTGCAAGAATGTATTGATTGGCGGAAGCTAGGTGGTTAATTTTATGGTTTTATTTTATGGATGTACAGGTGATGAAGTCCGATCGAAAAGAACGATGACAACGTCAAAGGGGGTGACGTTTTTTTGCGATTTTTCCATTTGGCAGATTTTTCGATACGAATCAATGAATTTTTGCTCCATTCTTTGAAATTACTGCTCTCCAATCGAATTTATTTTCTAAAATTCCAGTTTTTAATTTTTCGCCTTCCCCTGTTCCTTTTTATATTTTTCAGCTCTCAATTCAGCTTCATTTATCAGTGAAAAAATTCAATAATTAAATTCAATAATTAACGCTATTTTTTAAAAATCCATGAATTTTTATGTTTTAGTCCAGGAGTATTGCGTTTTTATTTTTTGCAACATATATTCATATTTTTTGCTACATTCACAAATATATCTAGCGCGATAGTGCAAATAAGATTTGTCCTCAAATACATGATTTACTGTGCGGGGTGGTGACTTCCTGTTTTGAAAAATACATCTGGTTTTTAACTCCTTCCAGTCAATATATGTTTGTTTTTATCAGAGGACGAGAACAAATCCATGATGCTCGATCTCACTAAAATGTGCGACAGCGCACATAACATAATTTCTTCCCGCATTTAATTCAATTTTGAATTATTTACATATAAACGAAATATTCGATGAATTATTCATTATATGCTTATAAATAATTTACGATTTCTAAAATAAGCTGATTTCATTAGTCAACCAACAAATTTTTTCCTTTTTTTATGCCGAAAATCTATCAATGATATGCAATAATAACGAAATTTTCAGTAAATTTAGCATAAAAATCTACTTTTTATTCCAAATTATTGAAGCCAAATGAATTTTTCATGAGATTTTTCATATTTTTGTCTTGTTTTCTCTGTAAATGATCGTCAAACAGCTTTTCTCTGAGACATTTATCGGTTGAGAATTTCGTTGAATGACAGTTAATAGCGCAATAGACCCTCGCTAGATTTTTAAATTTTCTTTCTAGTCATCATATATTAATATCCTTTAATTATAATAACATTCACCGGAAATTTTCACTATCGTACGACCAGAAACCTACCATAAAATGAAAACCTAGCATATGTGATTAGCATATGTTTGAAAGTGAAAGGTTTCTGCATGATCATGGTGTTTTAAGCCCAAATAATCGGTCTCTCTGTTCTTTCGCTTTTTAGAATGAAAAAAGAAAGCAAGTAATTTGTAGCGGTTTCCATCATAATTAAATAACGATTGTTTTTATGGTCTGATAAATTGCCTAAATTTATTAGATTAATTAATGCAATATATAATGTATGTATTTTATCGAAAGGTTATTGAAAGAATCAAATTAGAAATGGAAAAACAACAAAAAAGACAAAATTATTCGAACAAATGAACAGGTTAAACATTAAATTAGTCGGCATCCACTACTTCTAATTAGGTTCGCTGCACTAGTTGTTGCTCACTACCAGTGTGAGATATTACTACGGATGGATTGCCCATAACATATATTTTTTAACAGGTTCACTCCTGCAGGAATGGCCAGAATCTTGCCAGTCAGACGATAATCTGGACAACAACCACTCGGCTATTCTGTCCACTAACCTCTAATATTAATTGTTTTTAAAATCTTTTATAATTAATCAAGATAAACTACCCATATTCTCCAAAGTTACACTCATTATTTACTCAAATCTACGAATAGACGAAGGATGAAGGAAGGAACCAGTTTCGGGGTCGTTCTTTTATCTCATGATTCTCATGATCTTATAATAAGAAAGGAAATATATGTTGTTATTTTCTTCATCATCTAATTTACCATATTGCTTTACCATTAATTACTATGATTACTAATCTAATCTAATCTTAGATTAATCTTAGATTAAAGATAGAAGTGGGGGTATAAGCTCGATTTTTATAAAATATATCGATATTTTTCGAATTGATTTTCCAAATTTAAAAATTTCAATAAAGAAGTTCCAGCATCACTCGAATTTCCTTTTTCTATGAATCTTGCTAAATTATGTCTTCCATTTAAGAGTTTTTATATTTGTCAGGTTTATTTAACAACAAAATCCAATTATTATGTTTTTTTTTTCGTTTTCTCATTGTAAGCACTACTTGATTGAAACAAATATTAATTTTCGGTTTTCTGATTTATTCGGTAATTTTTTTTTTAAAACCAGATTTTTCAAAAATTCAGCGAATTTTAATATTCTAAAAACTTCCTTCCATCCGCACCTTTTCTCCAATAGAACAAAAATTAGATAGCCTGAAAGATTTAAAGATCTTTTTAACGTATATCGTACGATTATCTCGATCAGTTTATCGCTATTACTGGAAAATCTTCTATGAAATGTGAGGTATTTCCATGCTTTTCGATTAGACTACTCGCTCGTGGCCCATTACATAGAAATTTATGCAGAGCGTTATGCATCAGAAAAAATCTATGGCTTTTAT